TCTCCCAGCCTCTGATATCGGTCACTGAATGACACAGCAAGGTTTTGTAGTCTACGTGCTCAATCAGGATGATCTGGTTGTGTGAGGTGAACTGCCTCCTGAAATGTTTGCAATGCAGCCTCGAGGTCCTTCAGGTCCCCCAACCTTTTATATTGCTCCGTAAAAGATATTGCAAGGGTTTGCAGTCTACCTGCTCGATCAGGATGATCTGGTGGAGTCAGGTCCACTGCTGCCTGGAATTTCTGCAAAGCAACCTCAAGGTCCTTCAAGTCTCCAAACCTCTTATATCGATCTGTAAATGATATTGCAAGACTTTGCAGTCTGCCTGCTCTCTTAGGATGTTCAAGTGGGGTGAGGTCCAATGCCTCTTGATCTGCTGTCAGTGCAGCCTCCAGATCCCGAAGTTCTCCGAGCCTCTGATATTGATCACCTAAGGACACAGCAAGGCTTTGCAGTCTGTGTGCTCGATCAGGATGATGTGGTGGGGTCAGGTCTACTGCCTCCTGAAATTTTTGTAGAGCAGCCTCAAGGTCCTTCAAGTCTCCGAGTCTCTGATATCGATCTCTCAATGATATTGCAAGGCTTTGCAGCCTGCCTGCTCTCTCAGGATGTTCAAGTGGGGTGAGGTCCAATGCCTCTTGATCTGCTGTCAGTGCAGCCTCCAGATCCCGAAGTTCTCCGAGCCTCTGATATCGATCACCACATAACACAGCAAGGTTTTGCAGTCTGCATGCTCGATCAGGATGATCTGGTGGAGTCAGGTCCACTATCTCCTGAAATATTTGCAAAGCAGCCTCAAGGTCCTTCAAATCTCCCAGTCTATGATATCGATCTCTAAATGAGGCAGCAAGGCTTTGCAGTCTGCCTTCTCGATCAGGATGCCCTAGTGGAGTCAGGTCCACAGCCTCTTGATCTGCTTGCAATGCAGCCTCCAGATCCTTTAGGTTCCCAAGCCGTTGATATCGATCTGTCAGTGCTACACCCAGGTTTCGTAATGCATTAGGCCGATCAGAGTGTGCTTCCGGTAGCAGGTCCAGTGCTGCCTGGAAGTGGTTCACAGCAGCTTCAAGGTCATTCAGGTCCCCTGACTCCTTATATCTCTCTCCAAAAGCTGCCCCTAACAGTTGTTGATACCCCGGCATATCTGGATCTTCTCGAGGTCTCTCTTCTACAAGTTGTTGAACTGCTGTAAAATATAGGACTGCTAGTAGCAGGCAAAGCCAATATAGGATCAAGACAGGATTTCTCCAATCCTACAGAGTAATTCTAGCTTTCCAGTAACAAATCCCATTCATTTACTCACCAAATCCTCGGTGTCTTGATTATCATAAGAGTCAGACTCCTATAAAGAACTTCAGCTTCTTAGCATGAGTTCCGTTCCAGCATGTACTCACTAGATCTTCAGCATCAATGGCAATAATGTGTCCTATTGAAACTTCTCGAGAAGTCAGTTGAGACCCGCCCAAATTTGGTTCCTGCTGTGAATCAACACAATTCACAATTACTCTATTCTTCAGTTCCCACTCACTGTGGTTCCAGACCCGGAGTGATGGTTGCTGTCTTCAGTGATCCACCCATCCTCGGAGTCCTCACCATCGAAAGCAATACTAGCTGTGTCCTGTGTCCAGTCAGTGAGACCAGACTAGAATGACAAGGTGTTTCCTCACAGTTCCAGTGTTTGTCATTTATAATGTTGCTGGATGGCAGTGGTAAAGTGATGGGGCATATGATAGAAGGATGCAGACGAGACTTATATACACTGCCTAAGCGCCGGGCTGTCAGATGCCAGATGGCGTGATTTGATAAATGAACAGATAATCATTAGTAAAAGGATATTTGGCACCTGTAGCCTACTAGGAAGTTCCGACGCAGTCGGAAGAAACCTTGCTTGGAAAGGCAACATTCTGCTTCAGTGTGCGCGTCAACAAGAAAACAAAAATTGGAGTACTTAGCAAATGCGTCGACTCGGTGATACTGTGAGTGAAATCCATAAATTATATAATAAATACGTATGTACTACAATTCGAATACGAGCCCGAGTCTGATCAGGTTACATAAGCAATTATGAGGGCAGAGAGACCTTCATAAGCAAGGTAATGCATATACCCGAGCTATTCGACTGGAAGGATTGGATGGGCACATAACTGTTCCAATAGAGCCGGCACAAACGACATACCACGTCACCCACGTCACTCCCCTTCGGAAAGAGTCAAGACAGTGTCAAGACCACACAACGCACAATTTGGTGTAGCCAATTTCGCTTGAGAGCTGCGTACGCTTTTGTACAGATATCACAGGCTGTAGGGCCACACAATTCCATTTGTCTTGGTGGGTATATTGGGACTGCGAAGTGGGACTCTTAATCTGTTCAATCTGTATGTTGCTCTTTTACAGAGTTCATGTATTCGACTACTAGAGGCTGGTCGGCCCGGGGGGATGTTGAAGAGTCTGAATGCACAATGCCGTCACGGTGATGGGAAGAAAGGTGCATATGGAATCGGGATGGGAATCCGAGGCGGCCACGGGACTTGTAAAGTCGAAAGATACTACGGCGAATACGCTCTACTTATCGCGATGACCTAGGTCGACCAAGGTGTCAGTGACTTGGCGCCGACCCAGGTTTGACGTTGCAGACTGTGCGGATCAGCAGACGTTACAAATGACGTGGATTAATCGGAAAGATACGGACTTCGGGCATCAGCGGGTTGGTCGAAAAGTGGACTGTGGAGAGACCTTGACAAGCAAGGTAATGTGGGCATGCGCCACCCCCTCTTCTCACTTTCCTCCACCCATGGGTTGGCACACAATAAACAATTTCTGACAGTTGCATTGAGGTAGGATCCACTGCCGAGATTGTTTCCCTCTGCACTATTACGACTTAATGTCCGATCTTCTGCGGTAACATTTAATGTGTTTGGAGTTATTGAAAGAAGCCGTCCGTGTTCGGTACACCACGTCTGATTCCTTGCCTGCTCTCTAGCCTGAGGAAAGTGAGGTTTTTTGTGAACTGCAAGTGAGTGAGGGAAGTCTTGCAGCCCGAAGAATGCTCACTGGCAGTCAAATCGAAAGAGACTGTGTTGCAGGCTTTACCACATCTGATATTCCCTTTCTCTTCTCTTCCTATCTTTGACTTCACGCTATTTTCTGGGATGAGGATTTTCTACAAAAAAAAAAAAAAAACACCAAGGAATGAAGTCGGATGCCATATTCAGATGGCCGTGTCACTACACCACGCCCGATTGGTCTTAACTTCGACTTCAACTATTTTTGGAATGAGGATGTGTTCCAGCTTTCTGCCCGAAGAATGCTAGTGCTCCATCAAAACGACTTGTTCTTGTAGCGTGAATTCTACATGTAAAGCACAAACGCACAAATGCACAGATGCGCAAAGAATAATACATTCGTCCATGAATCCATGGAAGGGTGGTATTTCATCTAAGCACAATAAATAGATTTTTGCAGAAGAAAGGGGGAAAAAAAACCTTGAATCTGCACTCGGACGCCGGGAGTCGAACCCGGGATTGGCTCAATATTGCATTCTATCAGAACCATCTATTGAAAGGGGCCATGCTCAGTACACCACATCCGATTGCTTGCCTTCCCTCCAGTCTGGGGAAACCGAGATAATTTGAGCTAAAAAATAAACATTGACACAATAGCCTATGCTTGCCTTGTTCCTTCCTCGGCTTGGCAGAATTTTTTTGGAGTGAGGATTTGTATCAAGAAAAGAAAAGAAAAAAAACGCCGAAATAGCACTGGGATGCCGGGGGTCGAACCCGGGTCTGCCTCTTGGAACTTTTACATTGGCTATAGAAAGAGGCCGTGTTCAGTACACCACATCCGATGTTCTTTACTTGGTCTTACCTCAGACTTGCCTTGATCCTACCTTCAACTTGGGGCTATTTTTTGGAGTGAGGATTTGTCTCAAGAAATGAAATGAAAAAAAAAAAAAAAAAAAAAAAAAAAACAAACAAACAGAAATCGCACTCGGATGCCAGGAGTTGAACCCGGGATTGCCTCTTGCATGAGTCATGAACCGTATTTTGAAAGAGGGCATGTTCAGTAGATACATCACATCCGATTTATAGCATTCCCTCCAGCTTGGGTGAAGTGCGATGGATATTTCCTGTCAATATTGGCGAGGGGTCGAGACGCACAACTTGAATACATAGCAAGGGACCTTCAAGAAAAATGCTCAGGAATCATGATCGGTTGAATCCGACTTAGAATTGTGTTGTGCAAGCTAAATAACTTTCAAAAAAGAAGAAACACGTAGGGGGGATTCCACTCGGATGCCGGGACTGCCTCCAACAACGTGGGGATCAAATTATTCAGAGAGGCCGTGTTGCTACACCACCTCCGATTCCTATTGGTTGAACATCTGGAATCCCGACGCGGAGCATGCGGGCTTCAAGGGCGCTCCCAAAATGTACTCGTTCAGCCCACCAACTTGGGTGAAGTGAGATATTTTGTCCTTGAAAAAATAAAGAAGATGCAGAGGAGTTATTCGGACGCCGGGAGTCGAACCCGGTTCTGCCTCCAATATTTGTTGGCGGACTGTGGATTCAAAGAGGCCGTGTTCGGTACACCACGTCCGATGTTCTTTACTTGGTCTTACCTCAGACTTATCTTGTTCCTACCTTCGGCTTGGCAGAATTTTTTGGAGTGAGGATTTGTCTCTAGAACTTATAGCTCTGTACTCGGACGCCAGGAGTCGAACCCGGCTCTGCCTCCAACACCATGGCAGTGCGGCAGGTATTAGAATGAAAGAGGCTGTGTTCAGTACACCATGTCCGATTCCTTGCCATCCCTCCAACCCTGGTAAGTGGAGATCTTTTTTTTTCCCGTGGGCAATTTCTTGGTGCGATAGAAACAACGCACACCTTCAAGAAACAATACTCACCATGAGACCAGAAGTTGAAACTGCAAGCAAAATGAAGAAAGAAATGGAAAAGGAAAGGAGGGGGGAAAATTAAAAAAAGAGCGGATGACAGCAGCAATTCGGACGCCGGGATTTGAACCCGGGACTACCTCCAACTCTGGGTTAAATTGAAGGCATTGAAAGAGGCCGTGTCCAGTACACCACGTCCGATTCATAGCCTCCTCTCCAGCCTGAATAAAGGGAGGTTTGTTCTTTCTTTTTTGTGAACAATATCTCTGTGCGAGAAAGGCCAAACACACCTTTCGGCCAGGATACAGGAGACCTTCACTAAAAATGCACGGGAGTCATGATGATGTGCATGATCAGTTGAAACCGCAAGCAAAATGAAAAAGAAAGAGCGAAAGAAAAAGTCGAGTGCCCCTCACGTACTCGGACTCCAGGAGTCGAACCCGGGAGTGCCTCCAACATTAATATTGGATGTGACTGAATTATTGAAAGAGGCCGTGTTCAGTACACCACGTCCGATTACTTTCCTCGCTGAGGGGCCTCACCTTGGGTGAAGTGGAACACTTTTTGTCTGTGGACAGTTCCTCTGTGGCAGAAACAACGAACATTTTTCGGCCAGGGACCTTCGACCTCTCGCAAGCATTATTTCTTGTCTTCGAGTTGAAATGCTTGCTCTGCATCATTCAAACATGAGATGAACATGGTCGTCTTGTCGACCGAAATAAAAGGAGCAAAACAAAAAGACCGGGGCAGCCATTGTATATTCGGACTCCGGGACATATTGGATACCATCCGTTGGAAGACGCTGTGTCACTACACCACGTCCGATTCCTAGCCTCCCCTCCACCTTGGGTGCAGTGAGATAGATATTTCCTGTCAATATCGGTGAGGGGTCGAGACACACAACTTGAATACATAGCAGGGGACCTTCAAGACAAAATGCTCATAAACCATGATCGACTTGTAACTGTGTTGTGCAAGCAAAATTAATAGAAAGAAAAAAACTGAAATACATTTCACTCACTCGGACGCCGGGAATCGAACCCAGGACTGCCTCTAACAATGAGTCGCCGACCAAATTATTCAAAGAGGCCGTGTCGCTACACCACGTCCGATTTCCTCACCTTAGGCTTCAAGCTATTTTCGGGAGTGAGGATGTCTCTCAAGATAATAAAAAATTACCAAAGAGCAGCGGGTACTCGAAGGCCGGGAGTCGAACCCGGGACTGCCTCCAACATCGAATCCTCACATTTTATTGAAAGGGGCCGTGTTCCTACACCACGTCCGATGCCTAGCCTCCCCTCCAGGCTGGGTGAAGTGAGGTATTTTCAGCGAGAAATTAATGATACATATATCCTGAGCGAAGACGTCTTTCGGCCAGGAGACCTTGAGGAATTTATTTTTATTTTGGCTTGAAATAGTGTTGAACCATCTTGTCTCGTAGAATAATTTTCCAAAAAAAAAAAGCCTCAAAAGAGTTTCACTCGGACGCCGGGATTCGAACCCGGCTCTGCCTCCAACATAGGAGTTGATTTGTTACTGAAAGAGGCTGTGTTCAGTACACCACGTCCGATTACTCCCTATCCCTTCGACTTGGGTGAAGTGAGATATTTTGGGCGTAAAAAAAAATTAAGTCACAGAAGAATTATTCAGACGCCGAGAATCGAACCCGGTTCTGCCTCTTACATAGTCGAAGCACGATTATCGAAAGAGGCCGTGTTCAGTACACCACGTCCGATTGCTTGTATTCCCTAGACTCGGATCCAGATGATGTGAGGTGGGTAATTTCTCAGTGCTATAGATAATAATTAATAGACCGAAGCACACCTTCCAGCCAGAAATGGGTTGGAAACGGCTTGGTCTTAAGTGTGCTGTCTGAAAAAAATCGCCTTCTGAAGAAGAAAAGAAAGGAAAGAAAAACGACATACCCACAGAACTCGGACGTCGGGATTCGAACCCGGGCCACATCCCACATGTACATTGGATGCACTTTTCCTATTCAATTTGGGCCTAAAAAAACATTGATACGATAGCCCATCCTCGACTTGGTCTTACCCTGTCCCTTCCTCGGCTTTGGAGATGATTTGTAAAAAAATAAAAACCCATACACCTGGCACACTCGGACGCCGGGATTCGAACCCAGGACTGCCTCTTGCAAATGTGCCAATTGCGCAATGAAAGAAGCCGTGTTGCGTACACCACGTCCGATTCCTAGCCTACCCCTAGCTCGGGTGGTGTGATGTATTTTTTGCGGATAATTTCTCTCCAAGACAAAGAGAACCGTCATAGTCGTATGACCAGGAGTCGAACCCGGAACTGCCTCCAATATAAATGTTGAGCTGTTATTGAAAGAGGCTGTGTTCAGCACTCCACGTCCGATTACTTCCCATCCCTTCGACAGGTGAAGCGAGATATTTTGGGGGTAAAAAAAAAAAAGAAGACGCAGAAGAGTTATCCGGACGCGGGAGTCGAACCCGGTTCTGCCTCTTACATAGTCGAGGCACGATTATCGAAAGAGACCGTGTTGTGACACCACGTCCGATTCATAGCCTCCTCTCCAGCCTAAATAAAGGGAGGTTTGTTCTTTCTTTTTTGTGAACAATATCTCTGTGCGAGAAAGGCCAAGCACACCCTTCGGCCAGGATACAGGAGACCTTGGACTTCAAGAAAAAAGCTCGTAAATCATGAGATCAGTTGAATCCAACTTGCCATTGTGTTGTGCAATTTCCAAAAAAAGAGGATTGCGACGTACTCGGACGCCGGGAATCGAACCCGTGACTGCTTCTTGCAAATGTGCAAACTGCGCAATGAAAGAAGCCGTGTTGCGTACACCACGTCCGATTTCCTCACCTCTTCCTATCTTAGGCTTCAAGCTATTTTCGGGAGTGAGGATGTCTCTCAAGATAATAAAAATTACCAAAGAGCAGCGGGTACTCGAAGGCCGGGAGTCGAACCCGGGACTGCCTCCAACATCGGATCCTCACATTTTATTGAAAGGGGCCGTGTTCCTACACTACGTCCGATGCCTAGCCTCCCCTCCAGGCTGGGTGAAGTGATCTATTTCCTGCGAGAAATTAATGATACATATATCCTGAGCGAAGACGTCTTTCGGCCAAGAGACCTTGAGGAATTGATTTTCTTTTGGCTTGAAATACTGTTGAACCATCTTGTCTCGTAGAATAATTTTCCAGAAAAAAAAGAGCTTCACTCGGACGCCGGGAGTCGAACCCGGGATTGCCTCCAACATCCAATTCATGAAGACCGTCCATTGAAGGAGGCCGTGTCCAGTACACCACGTCCGATTCCTACTGTCCCCTCCAGTCTTGGTACATGAAGATATGTATTTCCTGCGAGCAATTTCTCCGTGCGAGAAAGGCCAAGCACACCTTTCGGCCAGGATGCAGGAGACCTTGGACTTCGAGAAAAAATGCTCATAAATCATGAGATCAGTTGAATCCAACTTGCAATTGTGTTGTGCAGACAAAACAATTTCCTTAAAAAAAAAGACGATGTTGCGACTTACTCGGACGCCGGGAATCGAACCCGGTTCTGCCTCTTGCAAGTGTGCAAACTGCGCAATGAAAGAAGCCGTGTTGCGTACACCACGTCCGATTCCTAGCCTACCCCTAGCTCGGGTGGTGTGATGTATTTTTTGCGGATAATTTCTCTCCAAGACAAAGAGAACCGTCATAGTCGTATGACCAGGAGTCGAACCCGGTTCTGCCTTTTGCAAATGTGCAAACTGCGCAATGGAAGAAGCCGTGTTGCGTACACCACGTCCGATTATTTCCCATCCCTTCGACTTGGGTGAAGTGAGATATTTTGGGGTAAAAAAATAAAATAAAATAAGACGCAGAAGAGTTATTCGGACGCCGGGAGTCAAACCAAGGTCTGCCTCTGACGTCGACGCACAATTATCGAAAGAGGCCGTGTTCAGTACACCACGTCCGATTGCTTGTATTCCCTGGACTCGGATCCGGATGATGTGAGGTATTTTTTTTGTGGGTAATCCTTCAGTGCTGTAGATAATAATTAATAGACCGAAACACACCTTTCAGCCAGAAATCGGTTGGAACCGGCTTGGTCTTAAGTGTGCTGTCTGAAAAAAATAGCTTTTTGAAGAAGAAAGAAGAAAGGAAAGAAAAAACGACATACCCACAGAACTCGGACGTCGGGATTCGAACCCGGGCCACCTCCCACATTGGATGGATGCACTTTTCCTATTCAAAGAGACCGTATTGTGTACACCACGTCCGATTCCGATTACTTCCCAGCCCTCTACTCTAGCCTTAGCAAGGCGAGACAATTTGGGCCTGAAAAAAAAAACATTGACACGATAGCCCATTCTCGACTTGGTCTTGCCCTCGGCTTTTGGAGATGATTTGTAAAGAAAAGAAAAGAAAAAAACCCCATACACCTGGCACACTCGGACGCCGGGAATCGAACCCGGATCTGCCTCTTGGAAGTTTTTCATCGACTATAGAAAGAGGCCGTGTCGCTACACCACGTCCGATTTCCTAGCCTTTCCGCTAACTTGGCTGAAATGAGGTAGATATTTCCTGTCAATATCGGTGAGGGGTCGAGACATGTACACACAACTTGAATACATAGCAGGGAACCTTCAAGACAAAATGCTCATAAACCACGATCGACTTGTAATTGTGTTGTGCAAGCAAAATTAATAGAAAGAAAAAAAATGAAATACATTTCGCTCACTCAGACGCCGGGAGTCGAACCCAGGATTGTCTCTTACGCAATGGCTTGTACCTATTGAAAGAGGCCGTGTTGCGTACACCACGTCCGATGTTCTTTACTTAGTCTTACCTCGACTTGGGAGCGTTTTCCTCAGCCTGGTCGGAGGACAGATGACGCTGCGGCCAGTAAAGCACAATGCACACATGCACAAATGCATAGGTAAATTGCAGTAAAGCACAAATGTACAGGTAAATTGCACAGTAAAGCACTAATGCACAACAACAGTAATACATTCGGTGGGTCGGTCGGTCCATGAATCCATGGGTGGGTGGGTATATGTGTATGGAGTTATAGCGTGGAGCGTGTAAAGATGCGCAGGGTCGTTGGTGGGGTAGGGTTGGGTAGGATGCGTGGGTGGGGTAGGAATAGGTAGCCAAATGTCACGGTACACACCCAATAAATCACCTCCGCCAGAAATCCACCCTCGCGCCCAAACGCTACTCCAACCCCAAAGCCCACGCGCTCTGCTGCCTCTCCTCCAGCGCGCGCACCCTCGCCTTTACCTCTCGCGTGTTCACGTCCTTTCCGCCACGCTCGAGGAGCGCCTGCGCGGCGCGCAGCTCGGCGGCGAGGTATGCCTGGCGCGCGGCGGGGGAGGAGCCGGCGCCGGGCTCGGTGGTGCTGCTGGCGAAGTGGGTGGACCAGCCTTGGGGTTGGCCTGGTTGGGGTTCGGGTTGGGAGGCGTAGGGTGAGGGCGCGTAGGGGAGGGGTCAGAGGCGGAGGGAGTGGGGTTGGGGAATACTGCGGCGGAGGGGTTGAGTGCGGAGGAGGGGGGCGGGTACTGTCCCAGCTCGACGGCATCGCGCTCGCTTGCCTGCGCAGGGCCGGGTACAGGCATGCCGGTCGGGGATGTGTGCGCGTACGTTTGGGTCTGTGGTTGGGAGGACAGGTACGCGCCGCCCTTGGAGGTGGACGTGCGCGGTGAGGGTGCGCCGAGGGTTCTGCCGGGTCCAGAGAAGGCTGCGCGTCGGCGGGCGCGGCGGACGAAGAGCCAGCGGACGAAGAAGAGGGCGGCGATGCCCGCGACGATGGCGACTGCGACGCCTACGATCGTGCCCACGGGGGCTTTGTGCTGTCTGTGACGAGATGCAATTAGTATCACACGACAGCGAGAGACAGGGAGGGGACGCACTTTTGGGAGTGTAGAGTGTGTGTGGGGTCCGGGCTTTTGTATATGTAGAGTCAGGATACAGACCAGGACGAGGGATGGAAAGCCACTGACCGAGCGGAGTGACTTTGGATATGGGAGGCGGGGACGCCGGATGTGGCGGTGGAGACGAGGGTTACGGAGCGCGCCTCGAGCGCAGCGGCGGTCAACATCGTCGCTCAGGACGCACGGAGGGTAGGAATGTGGAGGAGGGAATAGAAAGGGTACTAGGTCGTCAAGCTGGGAACAAGACACATAATAGGCTTGGCGCGGACGGCGATGCGGACCGAATGAAACAGGTGCAAACATGTGGCTGTGACGCCGATCCTTTCTTCTTTCCTCCCTCTTCGCGACTTCTGGTGGTTTGGGTCTTGAGTGTCTCTATTCTTCGCAGTCCTCAATGGCTCAATCCAACTCGCCGATTCACCCGACCGAATGCTTGAGAGCCCCGCTGGCTGCTTGGCATCGGGCTTCAACGGCGTCTTGGCAGGTGCCCATCATGACGCCCCAATGGATCTAATCATCTAATCTTTTTTTTTTTTTTCGAATACATACAAGGCGCTCGAGTCATACCAATCTTTCGGCTCTCCGTTGTCTGCGTGTCCTTCCTTTGTTCGGCGTCTTCTTGTCTTTATTCGGCGTCTTTGTCGTCTTGACTCTTTGTTCGGCGTCTTGCTCGTCTGTTCTCCGTCTCTGTATGTTTCGGCGTCTTCTCGTCTCTGTTCGGCGTCTTCAAGTTCCTGTCTTTGCTCCGTCGTCTTCTCCTGCAACCGTAACCGTATCGGACACCGTCACGGCGTTCATTCATTCATTCTACCGCATCCTAGGCCTCTTCTACCTCACCTCGTGATCAACAACTCAACAACACCAAAACCGCACACTGACACGCCCACACCCAATTGCAAAGAGTTCTCGCACGCACAATTTCACATATTCACGTACCTATTATTGTACTTGGTTCCCCTTGACTGCGCGCGCGTGCCTTTTTTTTCGCCTGGCATTTTCTTCGTTTTCTTTTTGGTTCTCACACGCCCGGCTCGTCTTTGTTCTTGGTCTCGTTCTCGTTCTTGTTCTTTCTCCTAGATCTCCCAGATCTATATAACTTATTCGCGTCCGAGTCTCAGTCTGCGGACGCGAGGTACCGGTGCTGGTGATCGCACCGCCCAAGCACGCACCCAGGCACACCTCGTATTTGTATTTGCAATGGTACTGGCAGCCGTACTCGTGTTCGCTGTCCATAGGCGCAGGCGCGCGCTCGGCTACCATCAAATCAACCCGGGCCTCGTGTCTTCCAGATCGTACTCATACTCATGCTGCGCCGGACTCCGGCACCCCATGGCCAAAAGCTACGCTAAAGCGAGGTTCAACGCAAGAGGAATAAGACCCAGTGGCGAATTGTATCGCGCCCGCACCGCATGGCAGAGATTCCCAGAACGATGGAAGCGGGAGGTCCTGGTTCGATTCCAGGTTGGGCCATAAGTTTCCGTAGCGTCTCTTTTTTTGTCTTACCGCACAGTCGCAAACAATCTGAAAATCACACCAACTAGCCGGGTTCATCCAAGGAGAACAAGACCCAGTGGCCAATGGTGGCGCCGGCACCACATTGGTAGGCGATGATTAATGCAAGCGGGAAGTCCTGGTTCGATTCCGGGTTGGGTCATAGAGTTGACGCAGTGTCTCTTTTTTTTTTTGATATTTTTTTCCTACCGCACAGTCGTAAACAAATCCCAAAATCACACCAGCTCAACCCGGGTTCAGGAAAGGAGAACAAGGCCCAATGGCCAATGGTGGCGCCCGCACCGCATGAGGTATAGTTGTTCACTGATGCAAGTGGGAGGTCCTGGTTCGATTCCGGGTTGGGTCATAATTTGTTGCATTGATTGCGTTTTTTTTTTGCCCTGGTTTTTGAGTCAGGCGTAGCTAGTTGGTGCACTTTCCGTCCTTCGACCCCCGTCGCTCCAGCACGACGCCGACACTGTTTTTTGCCTACTTATGTATTCACAAATCACACCACCTCAAGTCAGGTTTATCAAGGAATAAGACCTGATGGCCAATGGTGGCGCCCGCACCGCATGACAGGGGTTGCTCTAACTGATAAGAGCGGGCGGTCCTGGTTCGATTCCAGGTTGGGTCATACTGCAGCCTCTCTTTTTTTGTCTTACCGCACAGTCGTAAAAAAATCCCAGAAAAGCACACCAACACTTCCCAGGTTCATTAAAAATGAACAAGACCCAGTGGCGAATTGTATCGCGCCCGCACCGCATGGCAGAGGTTTCCGAAAAGATGGAGGCGGGAGGTCCTGGTTCGATTCCGGGTTGGGTCATAAAGTTGTGACTGGCTTTTTTTGAGTTTTTTTTTCTTACCGCCCAGTCGTAAACAAATCATAAAATCAAACCAACTCAACCCGGGTTCAGGAAGGGAGAACAAGGCCCAATGGCCAACGGTGGCGCCCGCACCGCATAATGGTTACAGGTGCAATTGCAAGCGGGAAGTCCTGGTTCGATTCCGGGGCGGGTCATCAGTCATTATCATTGATTGCGTTTTTTTTTTTTTGAGCCCTGGTTTTGAGTCACGCGTAGGTAGTTGGTGCACTTTCCGTCCTTCGACCTCCGTCGCTCTAGCACCATTCTTCGCCTACTTATGTATTCACAAATCACACCACCTCAAGTCAGATTTATCAAGGAAGAATAAGACCCAATGGCCAACGGTGGCGCCTCCACCGTCTTGATCACTGACAAAAGCGGGAGGTCCTGGTTCGATTCCGGGTTGGGTCATAGTGCAGCCTGTCTTCTTTTTTTTGTCTTACCGCCCAGTCGTAAACAAATCCTAGAATCAAACCAGCTCAACCCGGGTTCAGGAAAGGAGAACAAGACCCAGTAGCCAATGGTGGCGCCCGCACCGCATGGGAATGGTTCATACTCATAAAAGCGGGAGTTCCTGGTTCGATTCCAGGTTGGGTCATATAGTGATGGCAAAAAGCTTTTTTTCCCCATTTTTCTTTCTTTTCTTTTGGCTGTTTCTTACGTCGTCGGCACCGTTCATCGTCTACATATTCAAGCAAATCCCAAAATCACACCAACTAGCCGGGTTCATCCAAGGAGAACAAGACCCGGTGGCCAATGGTGGCGCCCGCACCGCATAATGGGTATAGGTGCGTAATTGCAAGCGGGAGGTCCTGGTTCGATTCCGGGTTGGGTCATACGCTGTGGCGTCGATTGCGTTTTTTTTGCCCTGGTTTGAGTCACGCGTAGTTGGTGCGCTCTCCGTCCTTCGACCTTCGTCGCTCCAGCACCGTTCCTCGCCTACTTACGTATTCAACCAAATCTTAAAATCAAACCACATCAAGTCAGGTTTATGAAGGAAGAATAAGACTCAGTGGTGAATTGTATTGCGCCCGCACCACATGGACTGGTACTGATAAAAGCGGGAAGTCCTGGTTCGATTCCAGGTTAGGTCATAAAACTGGAGAGTTCTTTTTATTTTTATTTTCGTTTGTTTCTTACCCCCCACTCTCACGCCTCCTATCGAATCTAAGTGAATTGAACCCAAGCGGCTCTCTCGTTCAGGACACGGTCTGTCTTGGGCTAAGGCTGGCCATGGGACTCCAAATAAGTGCACTGCAAAGCTAAATTCAAAGGAGGGAGAATAAGACCCAATGACCAATGGCGGCGCCTACACCACATAAGTAGGTGATTCTTGATGCAAGCGGGAAGTCCTGGTCCGATTCCGGGTTGGGTCATAGGGGGGAGGTTTCAATCTTTTATTTTTATTGGTTAGTTCTTGCAGCCCAGGATCGATACTCTGGTGTCTCCCTAAGCCTGACATGAGCAGCGTTCCCCTGCCAAACAAATTAAACGCAAAAAATCACACCGAGTCGACTCGGGGTTCAACCAGGATGAAAAAGACCCAGTGGCCAACAGTACGGCGCCCACACTGCATATGCAATATAGTTTGTTGTAAAAGATGCGAGTGGGAGGGCCTGGTTTGCGAGGTACGAGCACTCTATTGTTGTAGCGTCTGTTTATAAGAGACTAGGCCTGGTTCGACTCCAGGTTGGGTCATTCGGATGTCAGCTGGATTTCTTCCTTCTTTTATTGCCAATTGGTTTCCTACTCGTAGTTGTTGCACTTTCTGTCCTCCGAAGACACATCGAGTCACTAAAGCAAGAGCCCTTATTCATCGACTTCTCCTTTTCACATCGACATGTATGATTATATGATTATTCCTAGACCCGCTGTTGTGCTGGGCCGGGACTCAAAGGCAAGCTAAGAAAGGTTCGAGCTAGGAAGAACGAGACCCAGTGGCGAATTGTATCGCGCCCGCACTGCATGATGATTGTACAATTGCAACGGGGATGTCCTGGTTCGTCTCCTGGCTGGGTTATAGGAACGCACCGCTATATGGAATAAGACCTAATGGCCAATGGTGGCACCCGCACCGCATTCATACGGAATTAGATGATAAAAGTGGGAGGTCCTGGTTCGATTCCGGGTTGGGCCATACAGCGACACTCGTGGTTTCTTTTGTCGCTTTCTACAGCCCACTTTCATGCAACGTTCATTCAGGAACGACAAGACCTAATGGCCAACGGTGGCGCCCGCACCGCATTAGTAATGAGTGTGTTTTGATGTGAGCGGGAGGTCCTGGTTCGATTCCAGGTTGGGTCATAACATCAGCAAACCCTGAGGCTCTTGTAGTGCAGGTCCATATCTCTGTAGCACTACATAGCACTACATGGTGTATACTCAACTATGGAGGGCTACAGAGTACTACATAGCACTACAGGAAAAATCAGGTTTTGCTGATGCACTCAATGCAGCCTGTCTTTTATTTTGTCTTACTGCACAGTCGTAAACAAATCCTAAAACCACACCAACTAGACGGGTTCATCCAACGGGAACAAGGCCCAATGGCCAATGGTGGCGCCCGCACCACATGACTCCTTTGTGTGTTTGATTCAGCGGGAGTCCTGGTTCGATTCCGGGTTGGGTCGTATAGCATCACTGACTTTTTTCCTCCCTCCTCTTAGGGCTCACGCTTACGGGTGACTCGCTGGCCCACGTCTCTCCATCCTCTGCGCCGGCACCGTGAAAGGGTAGGTCGTCGAGTTCAGACAAGCTGGGTACAAGACACATAATAGGCTTGGCGCGGACGGCGATGCACGCCGAATGAAGCAGATGCAAATATGCGGCTGTGACGCCGATCCTTTCTTCTTTCCTCCTCCTTTGCGACTTCGGGCGGTTTGGGTCTGGACGCGTACGCACCCGCATAGGGTGCTCGTGATCGTGAGTTACGCACCGCCCTTTCCCAGGCACACCTCGTATTTGGACTCGTACTCGCCCACGGGCGCGCTCGACTATCGCTGAACCGAATCAAGCACGGGCCATGCGCGCGCACGTCCTCTCACTCATACTCAACCTACCCCAGACTCGGGCACCCCGAAAGCTACGCTAAAGCGAGGTTCAAACCAGGATGAATAAGACCCAATGGCGAGTTGTATCGCGCCCGCACCACATACATGAGGAAGGTGGTGATAAAAGTGGGAGGCCCTCCTGGGGCAGTGGTTTTTTTGGTTTCTTACCGCCCAGGCGTGAACAAATCCTAGAATCACACCAACTAGACGGGTTTATCCAAGTAACCGGCCTTCTACGGCCTTCGACATCCGTTGTCTTGACAGGCGTATTACTATCATGACGCCGCCAGGGGATGCAATCTTTTTTTCATCGAATACGGACACGGGGTCATACTAACCCTCTGGCTCTCCGTTCCACCTTCCTCGTATGATCTTTCTTGCCCTTGTTCGGGGTCTATCTGTATGTGTTCGGCGTCTTTCTCATTCGTGCCTTTGTTCGGCGTCTATCCGTAAGCATTTACTACTCGGTGTCTTTCTTATCTTCGTTCGGCGTCTTCTCCCACAACTGTAACCGCATCAAACACCGCGACGGCGTTCATTCTCCGCCATCCCTCCGTTGAAGTGTGTCTTCAAGCTCCAAGTCCCTGTCTTGGGCCCGGGTTTGGATGTTCTCTGAATTATGTAAGTTGGAATCGCATTTTCCAGCCCGGGTCCTACATACACACAGATGAACATATCTTCACATACTGACTGCGCGCGCTCGCGCGCTCGAGGCTTCAGCTTCATTCACCGTTCTTACAGTATGCCCGGCTCGTGTTCTTGGTCTCTCATCTATGTAAGATCTCCTAGATCTAGATCGAGATTGTCGCATTCCGCAGAAGGCTGGGACTCCGACTCGGACGCGTACGCGCCCGCATGGGGTGCTCGTGATCGTGAATCACGCACCGCCTGTTCCCAGGCATACCTCGTATTTGGACTCGTACTCGTACTCGTGCCCCTGTCACCAACTTAGGAAAGTTTAAACCTTGGGTGTTTTTGCAGGAAGTTTTCTTAAACGGTTTAAGACTTTTTAAGCCAATTCAACCGTAGTATTACAGCAAAGTAGGCACATACCCAGGCATTAAGCCAATTAAGCCGATTTAACCAATTGAGCCGTTTCAACCAGTTCAATCTGTTTAAGCCGCCGATTCACAAATTCAACGAATTCGCCCGTTTCAGCCCATTAAACCGACGCGTTGTGAATCAACCGTTCGTTGAGCAGATCCTGTTGAGTCGGTCACAAAGGATGGCATGATTAAGGTGGAATGGAATGTACTCAGGGTGTTCGGGTTGCTTTGTTGTAATAGCAAGATTGACCCCAACTGTGTGTCAAGAAATTGGCCACTTACGCAAACACCACCACATCAATTCTAGTCCAAGAAGAATCCCAGATTTTTAGGACAGGAGGTCTGAGGAGGGTGTGCGACCCCATTCAGTCGTTTTGGCCTTGAAGGTGGAAAATGTGGTGGCATGACAAGACTCTAGGGATGAAGACTCAGAGGACAGTGCCAACAGAAATGGGAGATGAAACAATATTTACTGAACACTGTGGGACTGGGGAACGAGAGGAGGGCACTGCTATGACAGCTTCTTTGCACGGGAGGAGCACAGAAGATGAGAAAGAGAAAGACGAGTGAGGTCACAAAGTCACGGTGGCATCAAATAATGCGCGCACAAAAGTTGAACAAAGAAGCCAACCAAACAAGATGCAACATGGCCTTTGCTTGTCTAAAACCACCATCTCCTCAAGTTATTGCCTCCACCTAGAATTCTCAGCCATATCTTGTCCCACCAAGCAGTGACTCTGAACCTGTCCTTCGACTTACACTGTTTTCAGAGCCCCACACCTATTTCACCCTCGGCCCAATAGCCTCCTGCATATCTTCGACTTTTCGCGACCATGGATGGCTAATGGGTTCGATCGGCTTAAAATTTGCTTAAAATCTGCTTAAACGTTTGAATTGGTTTAACTGGTACAAATCGCTCAAACCGATAAGGAGGGTTAAATTGGCTTAAACTGTTAAACGTGTTCAGTCAACAGGCTTAATTGGCTGGATCTGCCAAACCAGGCTTACGGCGGCTTAAGCAGATTAAACTGGCTCAAATGGCAAAATCGACTAATACCTGGGGTGTACTAGTAGTGTACCTGCTTGGCTGTAATACTGCGGTTAAATTTGCTTAAACAGGCTTAAACCGTTTAAATGGTTTAAGAAAACTTCCCGCAAAAACACCCCAGGTTTAAGCCAACTTAAGCCGGATTTATCGTGCCCACGGGCGCGCTCGGCTATCGCTCAACCGAATCAAGCACGGGCCACGAACACGTCCTCTCACTCATACTCATGCTGCGCCGGACTCGGGCATCCCAAAAGCTATGCTTAGGCGAGGTTCAACGCAAGAAGAATAAGACCCAGTGGCGAATTTTATCGCGCCCGCACCGCATGATCGACCTTTTCAGCAGGATGGAGGCGGGAAGTCCTGGTTCGATTCCGGGGTAGGTCATAAAGTTGAGGCAGTGTTCTTTATTTATATATATTTTTTTCCTACTGCACAGTCGTAAACAAATCCCAAGAATCAATGGCCAACGGTGTGGCGCCAGCACCGCATGGATAGAAGCCGAAAACAGATTCGGGGTGTTTTCTTCTTACCGCCCAGGCTGGCCAACTCTCACGCGTGGTTGTTGTGGGTGCGCCAAATAACATCAGCTCAAGCCAACTACATCCAAGATGAATAAGACCCAATGGCCAAGGGCGGCGCCCGCACCACATAAGTAGGTGATTCTTGATGCAAGCGGGAAGTCCTGGTTCGATTCTGGGTTGGGTCATATATGCATATTCTGGCGGTTTTTTTTGTTTCTCACTGCCCACTCTCACACGCTATGGTTGTTGAGGCACCGTCCCTAAGCCTCCATTGCCATGCCGACGGCCGAACTGCTCTTGGGCCACGTATTCAAACAAATTTTAAATAAATCACACCAGCTTAAGCCAGGTTCAAGAAGGAATAATAAGCCCCAATGGCCAACGGTGGCGCCCGCACCACATAGTGATGATTGAGTATGGTCGATTCAAGCGGGAGGCCTGGTTCGATTCCGGGGTGGGTCATAAGAGGCAAGTTGTTTTTTCTTCCTCTTTTGTTTCTTACCGCAAGTCTTGGCTCTCATCGATCTCATCTCGTATGCCACACATTCAGACAATCCCAAAAATCAAACCAGGTTAAGAAAGGTTCAACCCAGAGTGAATAAGACCCAGTGGCCAACGGTGGCCCCCGCACCGCATCACAGTAATGTGGCTTGATGCAATAGAAGGGCCTGGTTCGACTCCAGGTTGGGTCATGCGGAAGCTAGGATTATGTTTCTTTTTTGTTTCTCACTGCCCAGTCGTAAACAAACCCTAAAACCAACCCAACTCAACCCAGGTTCGTTCAGGATGAAAAAGACCCGGTAACCAATGGCGCATCATCTGCAGAAGCGATTGATGTGAGCGGGAAGTCCTGATTCGACTCCGGGTTGGGTCATGAGTCAGGGCCTTTTGGATTTTTTCTCCTCTCATTGGCTGGCTGGCTCCGACACGCGTCCACGATGGCACCGTTCCTCGCCTATGTATTCAAACAAATCCTGAAATCAAACCAATCCAAGCAAGGTTCGAACCAAAATGAACAAGATCCGCTGGCCAACGGTGGCGCCCGCACCGCATAGTTGCAGATATGTTGGGTTGCAAACGGGAGGCCCTGGTTCCACTCCAGGTTGGGTCATGGATCATCGCGCTTTCTTGTTTTAAAAAGAAGCTAAGCTAGCTTTCACGCGTAGCTGGTGCACTTCCATCTTCCCTCCTCGACGTTGCCGTTCTTGGACGACATATTCAAACAAATGAAATCCCATAATCAAACCAACTCAACCCGGGTTCATCCAGGATGAATAAGACCCAGTGGTGAATTGTATCGCACCCGCACCACATGGTCATTGTAATTGCAGCGGGAGGTCCTGGTTCGATTCCAGGTTGGGTCATGCGAGCAGTGCAATCGTGTTTTTATTTTTTTTGTCGCTTTTTTGTCGCTTTTTTACAGCCCACTTTCATGCAACGTTCATTCAGGAACAACCAGACTTAATGGCCAAGGGCGGCGCCCGCACCGCATGGCGATTACGTGGTCTGATGCAAGCGGGAGGTTCTGGTTCGATTTCGGGGCGGGTCATGGCATAGAGATGTGCTGTGCTGTTGTTTTTTTTTTCTTTTTTTTTTTTTTTGCGGCCCAGGCTGGCTGGCGTTCACACGGCCGCTGTTATCGCTGCACTCTTCGGTCCCCGAAGCTCGCACCGAGTCGCGGTGGGCAAGAGCTCTTTTGCATCGGCTTCTCCTTTTCACGTCGATACGTATGATTATTTCAAAAGACTGGGCTCACCTTTTGCTAGGACTGGAACTCTAATTAATTCAAGGCAGGTTAAGAGAGGTTCAAACCAAACTGAACAAGATCCAATGGCCATGGGTGTGGCGCCCGCAACGCATTGTCAATGAGTGTGTTTGATGTGAGCGGGATGTCCTGGTTCGATTCCGGGTTGGGTCATAAGCGATGGGCCGATTTTTTTTTCTTTTTTTTCTTTTGGCGTCTGCTTTTGCTGTATGAAATTTCCTGCGCGTGTTGGTGCCCTTTCTGTACATTTTTGCCGTCCTCGTCGGCGCCGTTCCTAGATTCCACTTCAAACAAAGCCTGAACTCAAACCAACTCAAGCCAGGTTCTTCCTGAGTGAAAGACCCAGTGGGGCGGCTCGCACCCCATCACGAAATGCTGATTTTCCTGCAAGCGGGAGGTCCTGGTTCGAGTTCAGGTTGGGTCATGAGGGCATCATTCAGGCTTTTGTTATTTTGGTTGCTGGCTGGTTCGAAATCTCACGCGTCCGCCGTCCGCTGTGCTGTTATTGGACTCAACTTCTGAAAGAAAAAGAAAAAAAATCACACCAAGCTAGGCCGCGGTCAGGAAGGGAGAACAAGACCCAATGCTGCCCGCATCGCATGAGAGTGAATTGGCGGCCGAAGGGAAGTGGAAGGCCTGGTTCGAGTCCAGGTTGGGTCATGATTTGTGTCTGTGGGCTTTTTTTCCCTTTCATTGGATGGATCGCTCTCACGTAGTTGCTGCACATCCGGAAGCCGGCACCCGTTTGGGCCACGTACTGGTATTTAAACAAAACAATCACAAAATCGAACCAACCGAACCTGGTATATAACACATGGCCCAGATGAACTGCGGTGTTTACTCAATGTTAAAAATTTCCCGAGGCTGTCACGATGTCACCGTGTAGGCGAGTAAATGTTTGAAGAATAAATATGCTAAATTGAACCGACCATCAAGTTCCCCATCTGCGTCACCATGGGCTGGCGGCGATTTTGGATCTCGCTTCGACATGCTCACGTTTGTTAACCTGCCTGTCCTGACCTCACTCACTCTAATGGGGGCTGTCGACATCTCCGTGTGTCCGTTCGCCGAAATCCTGGAGCCGAGATGGAATGCCGAGACCAGGCTCGAGTCGTTTTGCCTTGTCTTCAAAGTCCCGAGACAGGTCTCCAACCTCGAGAAAGTCATCACAACGCTCTGCGATCTTTGCGCGCAGGGACTTCAAATCGATATCGAGCAGGCGCCGAGTGGTGCTCAGTGGTGCTGCGAACATAAGGGCAGGAACTGTGCGCATCAGGTTTTCCGTTTGCTTTTCCTTTTTCCCACTGAAATCTCTAGGTGTCTAGTATCCTCCATGACCCGTCTGGTGTCGTTTCTTGACAGTTGCATGCCCATCCAAAACAATTATTTGCGCTCTATGACCAGCAACTCAGAGTTTGTTTCGGGCCGTGATTGTCGGCGATTATTCCTGGTACCGACTTAGGTCCCCTCGATAATAACCGATCGTGTCGGAGCATCGGTCCGTGATCCGGCGTTGCTAATAGACGAAGTGCTCTAGGAGTATCAAGGGCGCTGAGATAGGCGTAAGTTTCTAGCAAAGTGCATATGCTGTGCGAGTGAGGGGGGCGAGTCGGCCGAGACTTGCGAACGAGCCTTTAAGCTTCAGTTTTTGGCTTACTAGTTCTGGAATGGTATCAGTACCAAGGTACCAGGGATGCCCAGAGGGCCAATGTATCTAGCTTTACTTCCCAATTTAATAGCCCTCTGACTCCTCGGGTTCATTCCAAATAGGGGCAGTCAGAGTAGACGATTCAGGCACGATTCTGGGGTGATTCTGACTAACGATTCAGAGACGATTATGGGATTAAAAAGTCGCGAATCGTCCGGAATCGCTCAGAATCGCTTCTGAATCACCTCCAGAGGCGATTCGACGATTCTGGACGATTCATGATTTACGGCGATTCTCCCCCAATTTAATCGGCACATAATCGTCCCTGAATCGTCGAGCATAATCGCCGCTGAATCCTCTACTCTGACTTCCCCTAATGTAAGACATATACAAGGTTAAATGCATACAACACAGCAAGGTATGAGCTCAGATTTTGTTGTATCGTCTGTTTATAAGAGACTAGCGCAGTATGTAGCACGCTGTACATGTGTAACACCAAAAAGAAAAGCTGGACTAAAGATTAAACCGACATTTTCCAATTGCTTCTAGGAGCACTATAATTTTTTGCCTGTGCTCTAATGATTCCGTAGACGACCCTGTATCGTGTTGTTGTGCAATGTTTGGTGTGTACGAGTCTCGCGTAAGGTCACGTGAATGATCTAATGCTTCTACCCTTCATCTGCGTTTTCCACAGATTCGTTTTGCATTCTCGCCGAAAGAAGGAACGAAGCGCAGGGAAAGTGTCAGTTTGAGTGATTGTAACAACAAACGACAAGTGACAGTTGATTATCTTGTGAGCTACTTCCTTGCACAGCATGTTCTTCCTGGCAAACTTCATCCTTAATCTTCACCCCAATAAATCCACCCAAACTTCACCGATTTTCAACGTATCCGAATTGCAGGCTCGGAGCAAGGATTGTTTCTGCTGAAAGGCCGAGAAATAAAGACAGATTGTAATATAGTCCGGTGATTATTGGATCTGGAAGGCACTGCTCTGTGGCTGAAACCAGTGGCCAACCATCAGACGAACTAAACATTTAAAACAGCGTGGGGCTTGTTTTGAGGCTGAGTTTCCACGCCGCTTCCATGACGCTGCAGTCGCAAGGTATCCCTTCCAGACTGATTCGACAGCGGCTTCAATCCAGCTCTTTCCCATGAACTACACCATCGACCCCACGACGTTTGCAAGCCATTGGGACGTTGCGCTTGCAGTAAACTATGTGATATATGTATGTTGCCGCTTCGTTTCCAAACCACCAAGCATAACCAAGAATTAACAACTTTCGTTGCCCAGGCGGCACTCTTTCTTTATGGCGAGTCTCGTCTTCGAGGGACTTGCCGAAGCTGCAATAATTTTCCACAGGCATCTCACTCGTCCTTTTCTGCCTCGCTGCTCATTTGTTGTACCATTGGACAGGAGCGGGGCGGAAGAGCCTTGCGGTTGCTACGTCTGCAATGGCCATTCTCGCGACGGTCCAGATTGTGATTTACGTTCGCGGTGCTGTTTTGGGTCTTCAGCTTGTCCGCCTCGCGATCGAAGAAGCAGTGTGGCCACCTCCCTCTGCTCTTGGCTCAACGAATTTGTACCATCGGCTCTTTGTTGCTAAATATTTTCTCCTGGTCACAAATAAGTGAAACTTGCCCGCTTCTTATGCTTCTCCATCGTGCTAAATACCTACAGCGTCGTCACAGATGGACTCTTTGTACGTCTTTGGCACCTCAATAAAGAGTCATGCATTCATTGTGAATTAGATCTATCGCTGCTTCATCGTCTGGGGAGGCAATATCCGCATCGTGGTTCTTCCGATGGCCATGTTGTTTGCCGTTTCAGGTATGAACATCATTGACTTTGCTGATTTTATTAAATCCGTCCTAGCCCTAGGCTATGTGGCTGCATATGGAAATGATTCCATCGACGCTCGGGTCCCTTTTGTGATAGGACTCCTGACGAATATAGTGCTAATGGGCTTGACAGGTGCGTTCGGTCCTTCCGCTCATTTCTTCTAGCCCCGTACCTATCTTCTGGCAGCGGGTCGGATATGGTGGATC